ATTTCAGATAGAGTTTCATAATACCACTTTGATGTGGCTCCCCTGCAAAAGTGTTATATTAGCTTCCAAAGCCTCAAATACCCACCCCCTAATTTGCTGTGACACTCCAAACACCCTCCAAACACCCTGAAGATGTGGTGTAAATGGTGTTTGGAGTTCCCCCAGATGACAAAATGGGATTTCAGATAGAGTTTCATAATACCACTTTGATGTGGCTCCCCTGCAAAAGTGTTATATTAGCTTCCAAAGCCTCAAATACCCACCCCCTAATTTGCTGTGACACTCCAAACACCCTCCAAACACCCTGAAGATGTGGTGTAAATGGTGTTTGGAGTTCCCCCAGATGACAAAATGAGATTTCAGATAGAGTTTCATAATACCACTTTGATGTGGCTCCCCTGCAAAAGTGTTATATTAGCTTCCAATGGTCCAATTACCATCCACCCCATAACCTCACATCCCCAAGCCAAAACATATAATAAGATTTGGCTTGACATGAAACCAATCAAATATGACTCAAATGTATGACGTTGAGTCTACATCATATAATTAGCGCATTAAATCCACATGTAGTTCAAACATTGAACTAAAACCTATAGTCAATGGTCGAGTTGAAAATATATATACAATGCACTACTGTCAAGGTCTGTCATTAGTATGACAGACCTGTGTATCATATGTTCCACTGACTGTCCCATTGTTGGACTATGTACATCTACACATTGTCTACAACATCATCTTGACCAAAGGAATGTGCACTTAAATCCTATTGAATTGGACAATAGGAGTTGAGACCCATCTTATGTGGGAAGCTTGCAATATATCCGTTCCCTCAACTGACAAGTAAGGATTGGATGGACAAGAAGATGCTGTTGGGCACCGGGTGAGAGTTTGGGAAACAACCATTTTGAAATCAACATGCTCAAACAATCTACAGATAGTTAAACTATGTCCCCTTTGACATCCCAAAAGTTTATTTCAAATTTCGACAGATGACAGTCCAATAACAATGAACTCAATCAAACAAGAAATCCAATACAATGTTTCAATTTGAACTGAGCCTTCAAGAAACACCGATATTAGTAGCTTTGATCTACGATTTCACACAATGTAAACAAAGAAAAAAAAGACTAATGTGCTATAAGTCTTTAAGGCGAACACCCTTAGTAGCATGTATCATGTCATGTTCTTTAATCTTGGAGTATACAATATTAAGCAAGAAAACTACTATATCAATAGACCCAAAACTTAATCAGTCACTATCACCATCTTTGTTATCCACCTTATCAGATTCTTGGGAAGAGTCATCATCTTCATCTATTTCAACGAGAATGCGTGAGGTTTCCGAATTATCTGAGGACTGTTGAGCAATCCATGCCCGTTGCCATTTCAGATTCATGAAGAGTAAGATTTTGTTTTCGTAGAACGTGCCCCAACGCTCGGCCTCTCCCCATCGTACATCTTTCCAATCTGGATGCAGGAAGGGGATTGGTAGGTGGTCATTCCAAATAAGATCAAGAGATATAAAGTGATTCTTGCGATACTGGCAAAATCGAAGTCACTTGAAAACTTAGGTATGTTTTCAGTGTACCAGTTTGTCATCTCATGTAGATGACGGGCAAGCTCCGCTCGAACAGCTTGGGCTTCATCAGGCGACCGTCCAAGTGAGACTGCCACAGACGAGTAAGCGCAAAGGCCATCTTGACGCACATTGGTAGCCATCTTGATGGAGGGTAAAATGTATCGCGGAAGCGTTTCCACTAATGTCCATTGCTGAAACGGAACATTGTAATGGGTATCAGTATGTGACATCATATATATATGGTCAGCATTCTGTAATCACCTTTAGAACCTCCTTCTCAATCTCTTCGTCTTCCTCCATTTGTTCGGGGCTTGGCACATATTGACACTTCGATCCAGAAGGAGATCAGAGTACTATTGTTAAAACATCGAAATGTCTAAGTACTCACTTTTAGTTTTGCCATGCGCCTGGTCGTCTTTGAAGTGCTTGACTTCAAAGCAGGTGTCGGATCCAGGACGATGGAAGTGGAAGTAGTCGCCAGTGAATCTTGGGGTTCTTCTATTGGTGTGGCACCTGAGATGGCTGCAATGGGAGTGGTCGATTGTGATGCACTGACCTAGCCGAGAAAGAATAACTTTGGTTAGTGTACTACTTCTCTGGAAAATATAGATAAGTAGACATACTCCTTCTTTTGAAACTGGATTGAGGCGCGTAGAGGTTCTCGGTGCAATTTGGGGGGTTTCTTTACCTTTGCCTTTGCGACCTCTGCTGGCCTTTGATGCGAGAGCAGGAACAGGTGTTGGATTGGGGTTTTCTGGTGGTTCCAAATCGATGCCATCATCGCCATCGTCAATGGCGACCCACCCCTTTGGCATCTTGCGTTTCTTCGGTTTCGGTACTGAGAGGGAGTTTGGCGAGTGAGAAGCCATGAGCGTGGTAGCAATGCTGGTTTTGTTGGTCTTACTGTTGGTGTTTTTACGTTTACAACCACGACCTCGCTTGATAGGTGCCGGAGCTTGCTGAAGTACAGGACCAATATCTGGAGCAGGATCTGGATTAGGTATTGGATCGGTGTGAGTTTCCATTGGCGGCTCTGGCTGATCAAGTTTTGCATTTGAAGGATTGGTGTGAGTTTCCTTTGGGACCTCTGGCTGATCATGTTTGGCATTTGAATCATATGAGTCGAAGGCAGGCAGGTCTTCCGAGGTAGGTTCTACATTGACCAAAAGTGAGCGATCAAGATATCACAATAATCATAGAGGAAAGGAACATACGTTGTTCTTTCGAAGTAACTCCGAGATTAGGATATACACCTTGATCGTCATCAGCCATGATTTTCTCAATGTCAGTTTGATTGATGGCTTCTAGTAAAGCTTGATCGGCGTCGGCATTTGCTTGCTCATCGTTCGATGGAGTTGGGTCTTTAGCAGTCGTAGTAGTAGGCCCTTCAGAGAAATTAGTAGTAGCTTCATCGATGTGGGAAGGAGGATCGTGAGATTGAGCAGGTGTGGGACTAGCCACCTTCACAGGATGGAAAGTTGACGGTGAAAGTGGGGTTACAAACTTGTCCAAAGGACTCAGATGAGTGATCGGGCTTTTAAGTGTACTAGTGGTTGAAGTTTTCATTGGAAGTTGTGTTGAAACTGGAATATCCTGTTTTTTTGAGGAGGTAGCGAGAGAGTGTGAAAGAGGGTTGATCGAAGCAGGTTTTTCGAGGTCCTTGGCAAACTCGCAGTTTGAGGAGGTAGCGAGTAAGTGTGAAAGAGGGTTGATCGAAGCAGGTGTTTCGAGGTCCTTGGCAAACTCGCAGTCACGTAGAAAACGGGTGATGAGACATGTTTGGGTATGGGTTGAGAGCCTTTGCATGGCATCGAGTAACTCTCGATATCGATTTGAAAGGTACCCAGGTTGGTGAGGTGGAGCAGAGATGTGGATGATTGGTTCGGGTGCTTGAGGTTGAGTTGGAATGATCACTGGATTCGTTTCGATTGTATTTTGTGTTGCATGGTTATGCGTCGCATTATCTATGTCGAGGTAGACCCGCCTTGAACGTAGGTTGCGGACGGTCACACGGAAAGGACAAGTCTTGAGGGTTGTTGATGGTGATTTGCCCTCTTTGGCTTCGTTCTTGGCCTTCGTGGGGTGTCGATGATCACCTAGGAAGCATTTGTAGTAGATTGATGTTGTTCGGGTGTCGCGTGTGGTAATGGTGAATCCATGAGCGGCGGCGTAGGAGTCGAGGTATGCTTTCATTGTTACTCGATCAGGATAAATCAGGTCATCTCGAGGGGGAGGAGGAGAAGGGAATTGGGAAGTTGATTCAATTTGGCCAGTCTCTGGATTCGGAGGGTCTTCCATGGTTGGAATGATATGTGTGTGAAGAAAAGTCAATGGTTAATTTGTGAAGGGTGAAGAGTGAAAGCCGATCGATCGGGTTTAGCAATCAGTTATGGGTTTATGGGGTTATGTATTGGTGTTAGGATATTCTTAGGGGTATTATTACGAATTTAGTGCATAGAAATATGAAAGATGTGTGAAAGACATCTGGTTATGAGGGGGTAATTCGGTGTATGGAGTGAAGATGGACTTCCCACCAAAAAAAAAGTAGGCAAGTGAAACTTGATGGAAAGGGTGTGAAATTGCATACTTGATGCTCCGGATAATGTGTGTAGGTGCATGCTAAGTGCATCCTGACCAGCTCACATGATGCTCCAGATATTGTGTGTAGGTGCACAGGTATTGGAGCATGACCAATACTTGATGCTCTGGATAATGTGTGTAGATGCACGGGTGTGAGAGCATGACCACGGGTTGGACTCAGTGCATCTTGACAAGCGCACTGGATGCTCCAGATGTTGTGTGTAGGTGCACAGGTGTTGGAGCATGAGCATGCACAGTACATGCTCTTTTATTGATCCATAAACAAATCATCTTCTTTTGACGTAGTATTTATTTTAATATTTAATTATACTCAGGAAACCTCCCCTCCTTTTCATCAGAATTATTGTTCAGGCAAAAGTACTGGCTGTACCCAAGTAACTTACCTAAATGGGTTTATCTAGCTGCAGTGGCTTGGTTTGATTCATCTCAATAAGTGTAATGGATCACTGTATGTAATTCAGACTGCTAGTCAGTGATCGCAAAGGGACTGGAGCTACTGCTTTTGAACATGGAAAAAGTCAAGGGAGGTGGTGGGAGGTGAAAAAAGTCGCAAGGTATTTCAAGGACTTACCTAAAAGGTAAAAAGACGTGGCACGTCAAACTTGTAAGCTTGGTGACCATCATCAACTCAATTGATTGTAGGTACTTTCCAACAACTTTCCTACGGCTAATCACAGCCCAACCGACCAAAAGAGGCAATTATAAAAAAATAATGTGCAAATGATACACATAACTAGCTGGGGATAGCTATTCATCTTGCGCTAGGTACCCCTCACCGTTGACTGCTTCAATTTTTGACTTTTACTCACCAATCCACATGGCCCCTCGTAATCGAACCAACCTTTTGCGTCCAACAAATCGACTGAAGAAACCTAGGAACGAAGCGAGTCAATCTGCTCAAGAGTTGTCTGAATGGGATGATAATGAAGAAAAGTGGTGTGCAAAAGAATGTGACCTGCTCAGCCGTGCACTCACCCAGCCAGAACCAGCTACAAACAACCCCTGGCCCAATGAGATTCAGGGTGATCAATTTATTGGCGATAACGACGGGTATTATGACTTTGATGACGATGCTCACACACCGCCTCATCATGAGTCATCAGATTCAGGAGCAGAATCTGATGATTCTGTGCACTCACTTGCTTCCGATACTGACCTTGGTGTCGTGGGTGCTCGGATAGCGGGGGAATACAACCGTCGGCGTCGAATACGAGAGGAAAGGCAATGGGAGGAGGTCCTTGAACCAATGTTCAAAGTCTTCATGCTATGCTAACTCCTCACATTCGATTGGAGTCAATCAGAGACTTGGAATTTTGACAATAAAGATCAATTTCGATGCTCGGTGGCAAAGATACGAATCCGGAACCTGGATTTTGTTGATATATTGAGTGAGAGTCTACAAGATTTTAATCATCTGATTCTAAGGAATAAATTAACACTCTCTACTTACTTTGACAGCACATACAACACAAGCCGTAAAATTCTGCTCCTGTCAGCCAGACCAAGTCCGGCTGATTCAACTGGGCTACATCGGTGGTTCACCAGCTCTGCCAGAAATTGCATTCTCATTACGGCTGTTACAGCTACATGATGCTCTCTGGAGGTTTTGTTGTCTTCGTACACATCCTTTTGCTCAAGCACTAGAGTATTTTCACCGGGCAGCTCTTCGATTTGTCGATGATGTGACTAAGAAGGTATGTAGAGAGTAGACTTGATGTTTGAATCTCTAGTAAAAACGTGATAGTCAAAATCGTCAGCCCCAGAGAT